AAGCAATTGAACTTTCCATCGCCAGAAAGAAGAACCCGTAAAAAGACCATTGATAAACCTTTTAATATCTCAACAATGTGAAAATTGAACTCTATAATATGTTACTTCAAATTGGGCCCTTTTAAGGGATGTATGTAATAATTATGTGATCTGCAGAAATAAAAATAGTTTCCCAGTAAGGAGCATACTGTTGATTATAATTTTTGTCATTAGCTTTTTTTAGATACAACACATGGCATCATAAATTATTTTAATGTAGAGTTCAGTACTCCAGCTATAACAGGGTAGTCCCTCGATCTTTTCAAAGCTATTCAACAAATATGTACTTCTATGAGGTTGAATTGAAAAAAAATTGAGAAAGCAATCTTGTATTTGCGTTTCGTATAGGTAACTTTCACTCCCCTGGCAGGCTTAATCTAAGCGATATCACAAATATGTCTATACCAAGTTACGATTATACTGTGCAAGAGTATTTATCTTACAATTTTGACAAGTAATGGTGTCTGTTGTTTTGACAAGTCCTTAAAGCAGCTACATTCTAAATCGAAGTACATACATTCTGCATTGAGATCAAAATAAACAACTGCAGTGGCTGTGAAAGTCTTAGTCATTTTGAAAACTTTGGTAGTAGATATGATTATCAATGCTATTTTTCAGCGCTTTGCATATTCCTTCATCTGCTTGATAATATGTGCCAATCGAAGGGATAGATCCTCCTATGTAATAGAGAATTCTATAATAATGTAGCACTGTTAGCCAGCTAATAGGTCTACATATTTAGATAAATTGAACTGAGGGTCAAGACTGAACTCTTACTGAACTTCATAGAAGTAGTCACAAACTTGAAATAGTGCACTGACATAATCTCACACCTAACACAAATGCCTATGTAAAAGTGAGCTATGATTCCATTTGCATTCAAAACATGAAAGTAATCAACAATTTTCATCACTTGTACAGAAATTTGAATGGTTACATATTATTCTGAATGATTGTTTAGACAACAGAGAGCATCGCTCAAGTTTTAATTGCATTAATCAACAAGTAATAAATTCAAATGAAACGTGATTGAGACTACTTACGTTTGCCATAGAAATACATACACTGTAAACACTTCACAACACTTTCACTATGTGTAGTTGTGATTGCTTGTTCTAAGCTTCTAATTAATCCTTATTAACGGGAGCCTCATTATTAAGATTTCGATAATGTTTACATTCATACTTTGTAGGTTAGAAATAGGAGGTGATGCAATCAGACATATGCTTTATATCAATCGGTTGGAAAAGCGGAGCTTTATGACATATTGTAAAATTATAACATGAATAGGGGCTTACAATCATATTTTTATCGTATTTATAAACCGATGATGATTTCAATAAACTGATAAACGTCAAAGAATAATTGCAGCCTCTGGCGGTAAACATCGCAATCTGTAAACATAAAAAAACTACTAGATTCATACGATTTTAATGGCTATAGTCCGGTCCGTTTAGACAATGGAATATAGAAATTTTGAATCTTTTCGAAAATGTTGATTTTCACGCATAAAAAAGGACAATGGTATTCGGCGTGATCCTATATTCGATGAAGCGACCGACATAAAGCCGAAAATAGCACGTTTCGGACGTTCCGCTCGCACGCGCTCACTTTCGTAATACGATCGTATCTACAATACCCCGCCTAACAGGAATCCGGGGATCTGGAGCGGAAATTCAAAATTGAAACGTCAAACTAAAAATGTGTACATATCTTTGAATTTTGTAATCAGCCGTGTTTAAAAAATGCGATCGGGTAACGTGTCGTATGTCGGTTTAATCAGGAGACTTTGGTCTTTCGTTTTGCGAAAAAAAATCGTAGCCATGTCGCTCCGTAACGCAGGTCCGTATCGACGAAGACAAAGTACGCGCCGAAAAACGGTTGTCATCGGTACTTTGAGGCGCTCAAAGTTTACTTTTTCGAAATTTGACGGTAATTCTGACGGTCAGAATCGTTTCGTCAGCTCATTATCGTTATTTTTCGATAGCTGTATAATTTTTACTCGCTCACGTACGGTAGTAATAGGCGAAGACAGAGCCGGATGACAAAATAACTTTTCCACGCATCGAAATGTAGCGTGTTGTCGGGCAATTTTTGAAAAATCGAAACTTTCGAACGACAAGGGATAAAGGAAAAACAAAGACGCTATCTTTGTGTCCGATGTCCGGGCTTTCTCACGCAAAAATCGTCAGGTTCGTAGCTCCTTTATCTTCGGAGGAGATGTCTGATCGACGGCGAAGCAGCGTGCTTTATACGCAAAAAGTCATTCTTGACGACGTTCGAGGTTCGTTTATTCGAAACGGGTACCGTAAACGAAAAAACGTCTCTCCGCGTAATTTGTAGCGCTCGCCGAGATGTACGAAACGCGGCGCGCGAAATTCCTTTTCTCTTCGGCATAAGGGAGATATCGTAGTTTTCCGGGCGATTCGTCATTTTTGTCGCTTTTTTTCGAACATTCCTAGAAAAAAAACAGAGACGCGGAACCGAACGGATTCAGCTGATAGGCACGTATTTCTCGTTTAGCTATCGAACGAGACCGATCTCGAGTCGATATTTCGATAAACGGCGAAACGAGTGTGAAATAACGCCGCGTACCGCCCGACAAACGGTCGATTTTTCGACTTTACCGGCCGTTTTCGATCCGATCCGTTCCTCTCACCGCGACGGTTCCCGCTCCCCGGTAAAGCGTCGAGTTTCTACTTTCCGAAAAGGTACCTCTTTCCTTGCGAACGTTTCGCGAACCGGGAAAAAAAACCGAAAAAACCGCGTCGACGTCGCACGGCCTGAATCTCTAGCGTCACGTGGCCTTCTACGAAAAACAATCGACCACCGCTTAATATAGTCGACTAGCGCGGTTGCTGGCAAGCTAACGCTATGCAAAATATTGTATGTTGATGTCTTTATTTAAAACCTCACGTAGCGCAGTTGCTGGTATGCTAATGCAATGTTAATGATATACTTTATCCCTATCTCTAATCATTATCTATCCTTTATCACCTTTGATCTGTTATCTGTTATCTGGTACCTGGTATCTGACATCTGACATTATCTGTTGTGAGTTGTCAGTTAACATGGCGTTATAAAATCTTCCATATAGCATTAAAAATACCATCTATAAAATTTTATAACATACTCAGATTTATGTGCGGAGCCGGCAACGTCGCATCTGTCGTTAATAACACAGATGGCGTTATAAAATCTTGCATACAGTATTAATGTCCTCTATAAAATTGTATAATAAGCTCAGATTTAACGTTGCTTATATATCTGGCAATCACGTGACGTGCCAAAAAAATAGCGCTTGACTGCCATAAATAGAGATGATATTAGCAGCGACTTGGAAGTCGCCGGGATATCGGTGACAGCGACCTTAAAGTCGCCGGTAGATTTAGCAGCGCTTTAGGTCACTGCTTATCTATGGTCGCTGCCAGCAGCCAGCGACTCCCTGGCGCTGATTACATTACTCGATATTTGGCGGCGGTTATCCATTGATATTAACGAGGTGTAGATGTTCAGGTTCCTGAAGATTTGAATTAAACTATATTTAAGGTTTTTGTTTTTAACAATATTGAGCACAAAACACATAAAATCATAAAAATACATAAAATATCTTTCTATGAATCTTAAAAAGGAAAACAAAATACTGTTTTACCAGTCAAAATAAAACTTTTAAAACATAACAAATGTAGTATAAAAATGCTTCTTTTATATGTTAAACATTGCTTAATAAACGAAACATTTTTCTATGAAACAGGAACTCACAACAATAACAATAAAAACTAACAAAATAGGTTAGGCTACGCCGTAGCGACCCTGTACTTCCCGCGCGATGATCGCGAACGTGATGTGTATATGCTTCCTGGCAGCGACCGCGACCGAAACAGCGTTACAGCTACCGATCAGTGGTTACCGATACTTCCAAACAGCGATCTGGGTCGCTGCTTCATGGAGAATCAGGTCGCCGGGACTAACGGCGACCATTGAAGTCACCGGGAAAGGTCGCCGGTACCGATATATCGATCATCTCTAGCCATAAATCAATCGTGTTCGCCTATGGACAGCACGGGACTGTTCCTTTTTCAGTGTAAATGTTTTTTGTTTTGTGATGTTAAGTCAATGTCATAGGTTTTTTCTAACCTAGAAAATACAACATAATGAAAAGAAAAATTATGTTTCTGAAAGTTAATTCCCAAATGTCATTATATGAAAAGTATTGGGATTAAATCAAATCATTGTCATGCTATTTTTTCAAAAAACACTGGATAACATTATCCGTATCTACGTACATGGAGGATCTGAAAACAACTGTAATCATGTGATATTCACCACACCAAATATGTTCCATTCTTTTATAATTTCTTAGAACATCAATATTTCTTTGTGCTAATATGCTTTAGGTTGAAAACAAAGCTGTTGCGGATCCATGTTCATATGGAAATTTCGTTATCAAATTGACCAAGGATTCGATGGTTAAAGTATGTCTACATATATATTATAACACCCATCATATGTGAACAATATAGATTTTAATAGTAGTTATATTAAAGCATTATTAACAGTTATTCAACATAAAAATTATACTGGTGCACATAGCGAAGGTTATGTAATATAAAAAAATTGCTGTTCTAACTTGTCCCCAAGTTATAACTGCAAAAAATGTAGAAAAGACCTCCATGCTTTACATATTCAGTTGGAAATATACAGAGTATATAATATTTTTAATATCAAATTTCGTAATATGAGGGGTATCTTTGTTGATAACACTGGTCTTTTTCATATAACACATTAGAAAGGTATGACTTCTTTTGAAAGATTCAGCATGGAATTTGCCTTACTTTTCTTGCACAAAATTATCAATGGGCACATTGATTGCCCCCAACCATTAAAAATCACCCTGTAGTTCTCTGATTTTTCAGAAAGCTATGTTATAAAGATGTACCCTTATCGATGAGAAAAAGATTTCATACACTGCTCAAAGTTTGATCTTGGCTTTTATTAATTGTCATTGCAAAAGCCAAACGTACAGGTAATTGTCTCCTTTTCAAGTTGACTGGTAGATCAAGAGAGTTTAGAGCGATGTTGTCAACTCTGGAAATTAATTCGATCGAAGGTTCATTATTAGGGTCTTCTACTCGTTTTGCTTCTATAAAATTTTCGTGTAAATTATGAATCAATAAGCGTGTGCCGTTACATAAACCTCTCTTTAGATCTAAATTCTTCGTTAAAATGATAACTGCACCAATCTTTAATGTAAGAATGTGGGGAGGAAGTCTTGGAGCATCCAAAGAATTTAAAAAGTCTTGTGGACATGCGGAATCTAAATCATCAGCAGCATTTTCAGTTGTATCGTCTTCTCGGATAATACTATCAACACTATATATTGTCGTGATCTGCCTGGCAGTTTTTCTAAAACAACTGCATTGATATCCTTCACATGAATGTTTAACGGAGACAAAATCGCTTTTTGTAATAGTGTGGAATCGTGTTCAATTAAATTGCTACCGTAAATGCTTTCAGTAACATTTTCTACAATAATATGGTTAGGAACTTTGACTATAGTATCTCTGCCATTTTCTAAGTGACGTAAAATTTCGGAATTATTTCCTATGGTCATGAGCCAATCTTTGAATTCGTTTTGCTGTGGCAGTGCTCTAACGTTCGTAAGAAGATCGTACTTAACAAAGTGTTGCCATAGTTGGGAACATTTCACTGATGCAGAAATAGTTTCATTTTTGCCGGCCAATGGAACGATAGGTGCGCAATGCCTGAAATCGCCTAGAATTATAATAATCTTGCCGCCAAGTGGAATGTCATTGTTCATTATTTCTCTTATCTTCCTACCTATTTCATTAAATATACTTTAATGTACCATCGATATTTCATCAATGACAATAATTTTTGAATATCTAATATTATCAGCAATCGCACTCTGATTGCGAATCCTTGACGTTGAATTTTCTAGAAATGGAACCGGTAACATAAAAGCAGGATGAATCGTTTGGCCATTTTTCAGTAAGCTGGCTGGGATACCTGTATAACAGATAGCAATGTAACGGTGATTATTTCCTAGTAGGTAAGTCAGTAGTGTATTCAATAGAAATGTTTTTCCTGCACTTCCAATTCCCTTAATAAAGAAAAGACGATGTGAAACTCTTTCATTTTCGTTTACGGCTAAAAGTATATCGGTAAAAATACGTCGTTGCTCTTGGTTTAAAAGGGGAATGTTCCTATTAGCAATTTCTTGTTCTTCTGATTGATCATAATCGTATTCATCTTCGATTAGGTGTTCTACTGGTTCAGTGGGTAAGAGCAGTTGAAAGTCTCTGTTTGATTTGCCTAAAAATAAAAATGTAATAAGTAGTCGTATAAACATTTTATAATTATATTGAGTAATTACTTATCATAATATAGTTTTAATATACTAAGTGACATATAAATCCGAACACCCAGTTTAAATGGTTTTATTTTAATAAAAGTTGGTGAATGTATTTATCTTACTGTAAATAACAAGTGAAAAAATTTTCAGCCTTATCAGTTGGACATTCTGGTTTTTATACTGCTTTTTTTTAATTCACTAACGCTCTAAAAATGAATATTTCAGCCGCAGTAAAGAATCAACGTTGGCGGATTTTGGTTCTTGACATCCTTTACGATCGGTTACGATGCCTAGAGTACGGAGACCTGTACGATTTCGTCAACTTAGTGAGTTTGATAGGGGCCGTATAGTGGGACTTCGGGAAGCTGGACTTTCTTTTCGGGCAATTGCAGTTAGAGTGCAAAGAAGTGTAGACACTGTAGTTAGGTGTTGTCAGGCATGGCTTCGAGAACAACAGACCGTGAAGATCGCCGCCTAAGATAATTGGCCTTAAGGGACCGTTTCTCCACTACCAGGTCCATTGCAAATGAATGGTTTGCAGAACACGGAAGACCTATTGGCATGCGAAGTGTTTACCGACGAATGAGAAGTTTTGGCTTGTTTTCATACCGGCCACACTGGGTCCTCCCTTTAACTCGAAAACACCGACGTAATCGCCTTGAGTGGTGTAGACAACGGTCACTCTGGGATCAGGAATGGAACAGCATTGTCTTTAGTGACGAGTCTCGATTTTGTTTAGGCATGCACGGTGGTCGTGCCAGGGTTAGATGGCGACGTGGTGAAAGGAGGAATCCACAGTTTTTTGTTGAAAGACATGTTCATCACACTGTTGGAGTTATGGTTTGGGGTGCTATAGCTTATGGTTCCAGGTCACCTTTAATCTTCATCAGAGGTAACATGACCGCGCAGCGTTATATCCACGAAGTTCTAGAACCCCATCTTTTACCCTATCTTGACACCCTGGCAAATCCAACTTTCCAACAAGATAATGCCCGACCACAAGTTGCAAGAGTCACAATAGACTTCTTTCAACATAATGATGTCACATTGTTACCATGGCCACCAAGATCTCCCGACTTATCCCCAATTGAGCACGTGTGGGATATGATGGGTAGGAGATTGCTCAATTTGCAACGTCCTCCTCAGACTCTAGAAGCACTTCGAGAGGAGTTGGTGGTTGCCTGGAATGAGATACCACAGGAAGACATTGACCACCTGATCGGAAGCATGCCTAGGCGCGTTGGAGAATGCGTAGCACATCAGGGTGCATCCACATATTATTAAAGGTCAAAGGGCTTTAAAGCAGTGCAATCATTTTGAAATTTTTATCATTTACTTATTATGCTTCATTAAGTACTTATACAAAATTTTATTAAAATAAAACCATTTAAACTGGGTGTTCGGATTTATATGTCACTTAGTATATAATTTTGTATTCATCTGAAATTGATTGGAACATAAATGCTTATGTTGTGTTAAATTAATAGCGATAAATATATTAAATATTGAATTCATATTACATCACAGTACTGTTACATATAAAGTGATTAAATTCAAAATTTTCTAATACGAAAATAAATGATTTCAATATGCTTAAAAAATGTGAAATAAAAAAGTATTTGAAAACATAAGTATCAATTTTAAATGAATTAATAAAAGTAATTATTGATAGAAATATTAACCTTGTAGTGCTAGGTATCGATTGATGTAAGCCAAGGCATAGTTGTAGGCTAGGTCGTTATCATTTAAGCGTCGTATATAATCTTCAGATAAATGATATTTAAATTGTTCCCACAATGCTAATGGATTTTCGATTTCACAAAACAGCAACATCTGTGAAAACATACGACGAAGAGCTCGTGGAAGTTGTACGTGTATAGCTTCTTGCAACATGGTGAACCAAATACTATCGTCCGTGAGAAGGTTCATCGCAATAGCAGCGTCACGGAACGTTTCGTACGTACGGCCATGTACAGTACTAATGTCTTCGAATGATCTACATCCTGTTTTATGCAAAAGACGTTGACGAAGATAAAATCTTTCACCTTCTCTAGGATGTACAAAATATAATCTAGGAATTATACGATTAAAATGACGTTGACGTTCTACCCAGATTCTTGTTTGTGTTATTTTCCACACATAGTTATAAGGTATCTGTACGTATGTGTATTGTCTAGCTTCTTCATCTTGGGTATTTAAGGCGAACCATCCTGTTAACGTAGTGTGTTGTGTTGCGGCCCTTTCTACGACGTCAGGAATGGTACTATTTGTATTAAAATAGACTTGTTGCATATTCGGAAGATGTACAAAGAGTTTAATAATAGCATGAGACATATCGTGCATTTCGAATGTATAAATCCTCCACATCGCCTCAGGCGCGCTAACATAGCGAACGTCCAGAAACATTTGAATTTCGTTGTACATAGGTTCCTGGATAGTTGTTGTTTGACCGTCTTCTTCCACGGTTCGTACGACAATTTGAGCTCTATCAAATCCTTTGTATATATATTTAAGTAAATATTTTACGCTTTTCATTGAAGAGCAAGCCTCCACGTTAATGTGAGCTTCGTATTTTTCAAGTAGATAAGCGTTATATGGTACAACCCAACTATTATCTACCGTTCTTCGACCTATATGTATAGGTGTTTCTATTGGCCGTCTTTTATATAACGGATATCCAGAGGGATTGTATAAGGTATCTTCACGCAAAGATTTCGGGAATTGTTTGCTGCAATATCCTTCTTCATCTAAGCATCGAGCACTGGTACAAGGTCCATGAAGCATATGTACTTTGACCAATTCGTGCAAGTTGGCATGCGCGATAGGGTCGGGAAATTCTGCTGAAATTAAACGGTCGATTGCTGCAGGGTCCAATATTTTGTCTGATTCTTCTAACCAAATCAACATATGCGCATGCGGAAGTCATCTTTTCTGAAATTCTATTACGTAAACGTAAGCAACATAAACTCCCATAATATGTCGTTTATCAATATCTTCTATTAATTCCTTTAATTTGCTCTTGAACACTCTGGATACAAAATTAGGTCTATTTGAGGAATGTTGATTTGCATCTAAGTTATTTCCTGATTTCAGGCCATGCAGGATTGCAAGTAAATGTTAGGAAAATATCTGGTTTCCCGTATTTTGTGACTATAGACATGGCATCCAAATAGTTTTGTCTAAATGCGCGTGGACTTCCTATGAATGTCGACGGTAGGATGAAAATATTTCCTGGTTGATAATGAACATCTAATTGTCTAGAGTCTAAATAGTCGATTAATCCTTGAAATATTTCTTGCCTAATACGTGGTTGATTTTCAGTAATAAATTGTAGTCGACTTTGTTCGATTTTTACGTATGCATCTACGATGTACTGTTGTGTTAGCTTGCCTGCCATTACAAATTGGTTGAAGGTATTTGGTCGAACAGCTATTCTGAAACTATAATATTCCAGTAACGATATATAGCCTCTTCTATATTGATGTGGTGTTCTAGACTGCCATCCTGCTTCACCTCTTGGATGTAATAGAGGATAGGTCATTGCATCGCAATTGACACTAAGATATGGTAATTTGTGGATAGTCTGGTCGTTGTCTCGACAATAAACATGTAAGCACGATCCAGGGGCGGTCTCCCATCTTCAGAAATAAATACGGCTGCTATTTCATTGGCCTGTACCGCGCCATATTGTCTGAAATTGATATCTCGAGCACGGTTGTTATTGATGTACAATTCCAATGTTGGATGACGATTGCTTTGTTGTTGTTATTGATAGACATCCTTAAGAAATCTATATGCTTGAGCAAATGGATTGTGATTGTACAAGTAATTAGAGATGAGGTCGACGATTTCTCGATTTAATTCTGCTCGATTTTGTGGACCAACAGACCGAAGTGGATTTGCCAGTTCAGTTTCCAAAAAATATAAATTGCCATATTGTCTGTGTTCATTTGAAATATTAGTCGAAATATTTGATATATGATGTCTTATTTCTCCTTGTACCTGGAAAGAAAAGCAAATTCATTATAAAAGGGATAAAAAATTTATTAATAATATAATTGATTTAAAAAAATGAAATAATTGGTTTCTAATGTATTATTGTTCTTTGTATGTGGATACAATAAATAGCATTGTAGAAAAAGGTAAAACAGATGAACGATATGAATTATATATATATATATGTATATACAGGGTGTCCGCAAAGTTGGGGTTTTCCTTTTCAGAAACAACTACCCTTGAAATAACAAAGGTAATGTGTAGTGAAACGAGGGCGACCAAGTAAAAAAAATAAAGGAAAAAGTACTCACTCTCCAGTTGACGAGAAGGGCTAAGTACGTCTCTGCCCGAAATCATACCGCTCCAACAGAAAATGAAATCAGCTGAAGCGCTACCGAGCAGACGCAGAAACCACATTGATTGTCTTACACTTAACGGCACATCTTCTAACAAGGAAGGCAAAATGTTGCGTAATTGCGTGCGAATTTTCTACTGACCAAACATGAGTGTTGCGAAAGTTATTCACCCCATTACGCGTGAACGTAGATTCGTCTGTCACCAATATGCACTTCAAAAGGTCCGGATTATTGTCATGTTGATGCAACAACCACTCACAAAACCGCACTCTTGCTGGAAAATCGTCAGGTTGAAGGGCTTGTACACGTTGGACGTGAAACGGATAGCCCCTCTTCACGCAGCGTTTGCCACACTTTAGCTTTTGATACTTGCGCTTCTCTAGACACGTCTCTAGAGATTCTCGTCTACGCGATTACCTCTACATGCGTGACCGTAACCACCGGTTGAAGGTTGCATACTGACCTGACACACTGACCCCGAACCAGTTCTGCCGTCGCGTTGAGACCTTGTACCAATCTGTCCCGGGTCGCGGCTACAGGACGGTATTCAGATATTTTTGATGTTGCAGAGCCCTTTATCTCGGTTCCCTTTGGTATATATGGTACTAAGAAAAATTGCTTATGTTTTCAAGATCTACACGTCGTGTAAAGGAAAACCCCAACTTTGCGGACGCCCTGTATATGTATATATATATATATTACTTCTTTTCGATAGTGATAAGAAATTAATTTAAATAGTTAAAAAAAGATTTTGTGTTAATATCTCATATTTATATAATATTTTTCATCTTTGGTGTCACAGTCTGTTATGATTAAATGGTAGGGTTTTTAAGAAACTTTATCTATACAGAAATATGTGAGTTGATGAAAAGTATATCTTGAAAGTATTTTGAAATATACAGGGTATTTCGAAAAGGTGTGAGAGTTGATATTTAATCTAAAAATTGTTGACCAAGCACTTTGAAGGGAAGAGGTTGTAAGACGCGCGACAGAGAGGAAAAGTACACAGTATTTCTTTGGTTAAAGTGTATATAGGTCAAAATTAAAATTCCACGACTTGGCTTGGCAGGTCATATATCAGATTGGGCTTTTTTTTCTGGAAAGTACCTATAGAGGTATGAGACTTTGTGAAATTTTAGGATTCTAGATCGAATAATCCGGTTTAAATACGCGCTTGGAGTTTGTAAGTCAAAATGTAAATTTTAGCGCTTTAGCAACTTTTCAATTTCTCGGGGCAAACGAAAAAGGCATGTTATGTCTTTATAGGTTCGCTTCAGCAACAATTGAACGCAATATGAGCCGTGAGTCGTTTTATAGAATCATGGGAATTGTCAATTTTGATTTGAAACATCGAAAATTGAATCCAAAGTTTTTCTGATCAATGTAAATGGTCCATTACGAATTTATATATAAGGTTTAACTGCTATATGGAAAAATAGTTTTGTGAATTTTTTTGTTTTGTAACGTATTCTAATTGTCTACCTAATAACGAACCAGTCAATAATTGCGAAAAAAAAATATTTGATTGAAATTTTTGTCCAAGAAATCATTATATAGCAATTTTAAGATATTTTTTTTTTGGAGTTCGGTCCTGCTACCGAGTCAGTTAGTCTATCTGATAGTGAGCTCGTGAATTTACCATATTAAAAGTGAACCATAACACAAACAACTTTCGACTTGCTACCATATAGTGCAAATCACGAACCAGGACGCATTGTGAGTAGGAAATATTGTGCTATATACCGAAGACATACGTAAATCAGTGGATCAATTATTCAACATTCCAATCTCAAGCGTTCGGAAAAAACGCGTCCAGAATTTGGACCTCGAAAGAACAGGTACGTATTCAGAAATGATATTTTCCCTTACTGATATAAAACATTAGCAACAATGACATCAACACCGATTAACCAACCCACACACTATTCCACAATTCTAACTACATATAAACATCCAACTAAAGAACAAGCTATAGTTTTCAATTCCATAGACGGAGGAAGAATACAAGATTACTTGCTCCAATTAGGACCAATGATTGACCCGAAGAACATTTTGTTTTGCTCTAGAATTTCCAATAACAGAATTTGCATATACCTCTCCAGCAAGGAATTAGTAAATAAATTCGTAGAGCAACCCAGGGGAAATTGTAATACAAGGAGAAAAAATTAAGGCCCGTAAATTAATTTCACCATCGGACAGGTTAGTGCTATCGAACGTCTGCCCAACAATACCACACGCAGTTTTAAAGGAAAAACTACAAGACCTAGGCTTGAAATTACTATCTTCCATAACATTTTTGAGAATCGGAGCAACAGTACCAGAATACAATCACATATTAAGCTTCAGGAGGCAGGCATGTTATATGCACTCAAAACAATGGACTTACTATTCCATACAATGTTGCACCAGACGCTAGCTCAGCAACAGATAACGACTTCTCGCTAACTCGTTGTTTACGCTTTATTTTCTAGAGGTGCTTTGTAAGCACACCAATAGTATAAATAGGCCTTGCGCCCATTTCATGTCGTTCATTACCCGGCTAGGCATCGTAACAGTCACTTATGTAAACTCCGTAAATGTCACATTTGTAAACCTTTGTATTTTATATGGACTGAAGGTTCAGTCCTCAAATAAATGTTTTCAAAAAGTTATTTCTAAATCTAATGATTTAAGAAATTGGTGGCAGAAAAGTGGGATAGCTTCAACGCATTAGAACACGTGCATACTAACTAGTGTGGTGGATGCCTATCCTTTAAGCTGAAAAGGACCAACGAGCCTTAAGAAGAAAGAAACCTATTGAAGAAAGAAAACTACAAGTAAGAAACCACAAAGCAACAAGAAGAAGGAAAATAACAGGGGACACAGCGAGCAGCAGCCACCCAACTGCAGACAGACTACTAGAAACATCGCAAGAGATCCACTAGCCGCCTGGAGAACACGACTGCCTCCCGATGTACCCTTGGTAACGTACAATTTTAATCTAACTATTTTTTGCGATTTATCTCTGTGTGTGTGATTGTTACAACTTTTTATTTGCATTTTTGCGCATTTACTCTATACAGGGTGACTTTGAAGTTGAGTCATTAATTTTCAGATAATGATTGTAGAAGGAAGATAAACCAAAATATGTGTGTAAAAATAAAAAAAAAAAAAAAAAAAAAATTTTACCTTGTTTTATAAAGTATCCTCCCGACAAGTATTTCAGTGCGGACCTGTATTTGATCGTGAGGTCCCCTCTGAGGTCTTAAGTCACCTGATTCACGAGCCCGTTGTACTACATTAACAAAGGCACGAGGGGTTGGTTGCACTTGTTTGGGAAACCGATCCGCATAAACATGTGCCATTTTTTATTTCGTTTGAGACACGCAACAGATACCACCATTCACTGACACTGACTGTATACAAATGAATGAGATACTTGTAAAAACATCGTTCCAAATTCTTTCGCTTTTTTGTTTCCGATGCGATGAACCGATACGGCGGATTATATCCGTTGTCGCCAAACACGACCACATAATATTGTTATTGAGACAGGGCGGTACTCAAACTTCCAAAGGGCTATAACTTTGTTACTTTAATTTACCAGGAAAATGGTAAAGGAAAAAAACATTTCTTTTGATCAGATCTACTCACTGTTAAAATAAATGACTCAACTTCGAAGTCACCCTGTATATTGTCGATTTTCACGTATTTTTTCCCCATTTTTACGTATTTTTCTATTTTACATTTATATCTTTTTGCATTTTCCCTTGACATTATTGAATCTTTTTGAAACAACTTTCCATTTAAATGTCTACTAACGGTTCAGATGATTACCAACCAGCTGAAATTCCTGATAACGTTCATGCGAACATTGAACCTTATAGATTATCTGAAATATTTTCGATTGTACCCGAGTACGATGGAAACCCGATATTGCTATCGACCTTCATCAACGCGTGCCGAACGGCATATCAAATGGCCGTCGAGGAGCAGCGGCTTCTCGTCGTTTTACATATTAAAAACAAACTTCGCGGACGTGCCGCCGAACTTGTGAACAGCCGAAACCCTACCACGTGGGAAGACATACGGTCCCTGTTAGAAACGCACTTGGAGATCTTAGAGATCTCACATCTTTAATCGCGGATCTTCAACACATGCGCCAACTCCCCAACGAATCACCCCTAACCTTTGCATCTAGACTGCAGAC